TTCTCTGGCGATGGTTTGGTTGTGGGAAGAGATTATATGTTCCTTAATGGAGCCCTGTTGCTTATGCATCGTTAAACGCCTAGAAAGAGATGTTGTTGTCTTGCCTATATACTGGTTTTTTTGGAGCTTACAGTCCCCAAGAGGGCATTTGAAGGCATAGACGACGTTAGTCTCTTTTAAAGCGTTCTGTTTTGTGTCTGGAGAGTTTCTCATGAGTAGGCTGGCCGTTTTTCTGGTTTTATAGTAAATCGTCAGTTGTATCCTCTGATTTTTGTCTGTAGGGATAACGTTTCTATTAACAATATCTTTCAGGACCCTTTCCTCCGTTTTATGAGCTGTGGAAAAGAAGTTCCTGTAAAATAGTCTAATAGGGGGTATAGGTGTTGTGTTAGTTGTCTCTTCAGAGGTTGCATGGCTTTTCACTTTCCTTCTTATGATGTCTTCGACGAAACCATTGGAGAAGCCGTTATTGACTAGGACCTGCCTTACCCTACAGAGTTCTTCGTCGACTTGCTTCCATTCTGAGCTGTGGCTGAGAGCACGGTCGACATATGCGTTAACAACACTCCTCTTGTACCTGTCTGGGCAGTCGCTGTTGGCATTTAGGCACATTCCTATGTTTGTTTCCTTAGTGTAGACTGCAGTGTGGAAACCTCCGCCCTTTTCCATGACTGTTAAATCTAGAAAGGGCAGCTTCCCATCCTTTTCCATCTCGTAAGTGAAACGCAGCACGGAACTCTGCTCAAATGCCTCCTTCAGCTCCTGCAGATGTCTGACATCAGGTACCTGTGTAAAAATGTCGTCAACATACCTGCAGTATATGGCCGGTTTCAAGTTCATGTCGACTAAGACTTTTTGCTCGATGGTACCCATGTAGAAGTTTGCAAACAGGACACCTAGGGGATTTGATTTTTGATTTACCTCCAACAGTGAAACGAAATGTACGAAAGATTGAGAAAATTCGTGTTAGAATTATTAATCTTACTTTTTCGGTCATATTTAATAATATATATATATATATATATATATATATATATATATATATATATATATATTGGTATACAGTTATAGTATACTGGCAGCAGGTTTTCTTTCAAACATGTTTCATTGAATATACAGTTAGGATTGGCACCTATTCAATCCTCCCCGGCCAGGATACGAACCCAGACCAAATGGCTTGCAAAGCGCCAGACGAGTGTGTAACCACTACGCCACAGGCACTTCTAGGTCTCATATTCTCACGATTTATTTGAGGAAACAACATGTTATAGTGACACAGTCGACCATAGTAGTCGTTATAGTGACACAGTCGACCATAGTAGTCGTTATAGTGACACAATCGACCATAGTAGTCCGTTATAGTGACACAGTCGACCATAGTAGTCCGTTATAGTGACACAGTCGACCATAGTAGCCTGTTATAGTGACACAGTCGATCATAGTAGCCTGTTATAGTGACACAGTTGACCATAGTAGCCTGTTATAGTGACACAGTCGATCATAGTAGCCTGTTATAGTGACACGGTCGATCATAGTAGCATGTTATAGTGACACAGTCGATCATAGTAGCCTGTTATAGTGACACAGTTGACCATAGTAGCCTGTTATAGTGACACAGTCGACCATAGTAGTCGTTATAGGTTATAGTGACACAGTCGACCATAGTAGCCTGTTATAGTGACACAGTTGATCATAGTAGCCTGTTATAGTGACACAGTCGACCATAGTAGTCTGTTATAGTGACACAGTCGACCATAGTAGTCTGTTATAGTGACACAGTCGACCATAGTAGTCTGTTATAGTGACACAGTCGACCATAGTAGTCTGTTATAGTGACACAGTCGACCATAGTAGCCTGTTATAGTGACACAGTCGACCAAAGTAGCCTGTTATAGTGACACAGTCGACCATAGTAGTCTGTTATAGTGACACAGTCGACCATAGTAGTCGGTTATAGTGACACAGTCGACCATAGTAGTCCGTTATAGTGACACAGTCGACCATAGTAGCCTGTTATAGTGACACAGTTGACCATAGTAGCCTGTTATAGTGACACAGTCGATCATAGTAGCCTGTTATAGTGACACAGTCGACCATAGTAGCCTGTTATAGTGACACACGACAGTCGAGTCGACCATAGTAGCCTGTTATAGTGACACAGTCGACCATAGTAGTCTGTTATAGTGACACAGTCGACCGTAGTAGCTGTTACAGTGACACAGTCGACCATAGTAGTCTGTTATAGTGACACAGTCGACCATAGTAGCCTGATATAGTGACACAGTCGACCATAGTAGCCTGTTATAGTGACACAGTCGACCATAGTAGCCTGTTATAGTGACACAGTCGACCATAGTAGTCTGTTATAGTGACACAGTCGATCATAGTAGCCTGTTATAGTGACACAGTCGACCATAGTAGCCTGTTATAGTGACACAGTCGACCATAGTAGTCTGTTACAGTGACACAGTCGACCATAGTAGCCTGTTATAGTGACACAGTCGACCATTGTAAACATAGTGACTACCGCACTATACCTTCGTGTATGGGAAGGATACTAATACACTTTGTCTCCAGATTTATTGACAGGTTTACACAGTCATCCAGTTAACATGATATGGTGAGCCCAGGCATGGTATGGTGATCCCAGGCATGGTATGGTGAGCCCAGGCATAGTATGGTGAGCCCAGGCATGGTATGGTGATCCCAGGCATGATATGGTGAGCCCAGGCATGGTATGGTGATCCCAGGCATGATATGGTGAGCCCAGGCATGGTATGGTGATCCCAGGCATGATATGGTGAGCCCAGGCATGGTATGGTGATCCCAGGCATGGTATGGTGAGCCCAGGCATTGTATGGTGAGCCCAGGCATGGTATGGTGATCCTAGGCTTGGTATGGTGAGCCCAGGCATGGTATGGTGATCCTAGGCATGGTATGGTGAGCCCAGGCATGGTATGGTGATCCTAGGCATGGTATGGTGAGCCCAGGCATGGAATGGTGATCCCATATATGGTATGGCGATCCCAGGCACGGTATGGCGAGCCCAGGTATGGTATGGTGATTCCATACATGGTATGGTGACCCTCAGGCATAGTATGGTGATCCCATACATGGTATGGTGAGCCCAGGCATGGTTTGGTGAGCCCAGGCATGGTATGGTGACCCTCAGGCATGGTATGGTGACCCTCAGGCATGGTATGGTGAGCCCAGGCATGGTATGGTGAGCCCAGGCATGGTATGGTGAGCCCAGGCATGGTATGGTGACCCCAGACATGGTATGGTGATCCCATACATGGTATGGTGAGCCCTGGCATGGTATGGTGAGCCCAGGCATGGTATGGTGATCCCATACATGGTATGGTGAGCCCAGGCATGGTATGGTGACCCCACGCATGGTATGGTGATCCTAGGCATGGTATGGTGAGCCCAGGCATGGTATGGTGACCCCAGGCATGGTATTGTGACCCCAGGCATGGTATGGTGACCCCAGGCATGGTATGGTGACCCCAGGCATTGTATGGTGAGCCAAGGCATGGTATGGTGATCCCATGCATTGTATGGTGACCCCAGGCATGGTATGGTGAGCCCAGGCATGGTATGGTGACCCCAGGCATTGTATGGTGAGCCAAGGCATGGTATGGTGACCCTAGGCATGGTATGGTGACCCCAGGCATGGTATGGTGACCCCAGGAATTGTATGGTGAGCCCAGACATGTGAGACATGATGGTGAGGGAGACATGATGGTGAAGTGAGACATGATGGTGAAGGAGACATGATGGTGAAGTGAGACTTGATGGTGAAGGAGACATGATGGTGAGGTGAGACTTGATGGTGAGGGAGACATGATGGTGAGGTGAGACTTGATGGTGAGGGAGACTTGATGGTGAAGGAGACATGATGGTGAGGTGAGACTTGATGATGAGGGAGACATGATGGTGAGGGAGACATGATGGTGAGGGAGACATGATGGTGAGGTGAGACTTGATGGTGAAGGAGACATGATGGTGAGGTGAGACTTGATGGTGAGGTGAGACATGATGGTGAGGTGAGACTTGATGGTGAAGGAGACATGATGGTGAGGTGAGACTTGATGGTGAGGTGAGACATGATGGTGAGGTGAGACTTGATGGTGAAGGAGACATGATGGTGAGGTGAGACTTGATGGTGAAGGAGACATGATGGTGAGGTGAGACTTGATGGTGAAGGAGACATGATGGTGAGGTGAGACTTGATGGTGAAGGAGACATGATGGTGAGGTGAGACTTGATGGTGAAGGAGACATGATGGTGAGGTGAGACTTGATGGTGAGGGAGACATGATGGTGTGGGAGACATGATGGTGAGGTGAGACATGATGGTGAGGTGAGACATGATGGTGAGGTGAGACATGATGGTGAGGGAGACATGATGGTGAGGGAGACATGATGGTGAGGGAGACATGATGGTGAGGTGAGACTTGATGGTGAAGGAGACATGATGGTGAGGTGAGACTTGATGGGGAAGGAGACATGATGGTGAGGTGAGACATGATGGTGAGGGAGACATGATGGTGAGGTGAGACTTGATGGTGAAGGAGACATGATGGTGAGGTGAGACATGATGGTGAGGGAGACATGATGGTGAGGGAGACATGATGGTGAGGTGAGACTTGATGGTGAAGGAGACATGATGGTGAGGTGAGACATGATGGTGAGGGAGACATGATGGTGAGGGAGACATGATGGTGAGGTGAGACTTGATGGTGAAGGAGACATGATGGTGAGGTGAGACTTGATGGTGAGGGAGACATGATGGTGAGGTGAGACTTGATGGTGAGGGAGACATGATGGTGTGGGAGACATGATGGTGAGGTGAGACATGATGGTGAGGTGAGACATGATGGTGAGGTGAGACATGATGGTGAGGGAGACATAATGGTGAGGTGAGACATGATGGTGAGGGAAGAAGTAATAAGGTTAGCAATGATGAAAGTGAAGCGGAACATGATGATAGTGAGCTCAAACATCAGGAAGGAAGAGGCCGCAGCGCGTGATGGTGAGGTCGGTGACGGTATGGTGTGTCACCATCGCCCTCACCACCGCCATGCCCTCCACCACCTGCCCGAAGGGACACTGAGACTCCCCCTCGGGGTCACTCCTGCTGCAGATGCAGAAGAGAGAGTCGTACTCTGGGTGCCCTCCGCCTGCCCCTTGCAGCAGCCCTTCCCTCTCCTCTCCCACGAAGTCTCCGCCCCATTCCAGGTCGTCCATGAGACCACGTGTGCACCTCGTCTCTACCCACGTGCCCTGCGTGGCGGCGTAGGGGTCCTGCGCCATGTAGCTGCCCCCGACGATGTACTCGCCCGCTCGGCCGCTGTTGCCCACGTACTCGAACTTGGAGCCGAGGAAGGAGGGGCCGAGGGTGGCGAGGCAGAGAGCCTTGAAGTGCTGTGCCCGCTTGAGACGACCCCAGAGTCGGACGACCAGCCTGCCCAGGCGCTGTGCCCCAGCACTCACCTCCAGGAACACCAGAGGGCACGCCGCCTCCACCGCGCTCTCCAACACACTCATCTGCAAGGCATCAACTTTTGGTTAATATCTCGCTACATCTGTTAAATTACCGTTTGTTTATGTCTTTATCAGTGTGGGTGGTGTTGGTCGGTTACTGTATTTGTTAGTCCAACCACATCCCTTGATAATAACTCTTGGCTTGATAAGTATATACTATAGAACAAGTGAGAATAAGATCACAATTACTGTTAACTACACTAAACTGGGTAGTTTCCTGGCCCACATTCTGGGGGATGGGGAATAGAAAATTTATGTAAAGGAGAAACCAGGCCTCGCAGAGTGTGACATGTAGGATCCCTGCGCCCTGGCTGCTCAGGTCAAGGGTGCTTAATGTAAATGTGTACTTTAATAGTGTGACAATGTTTATGTGAATGGTAAGTTAGGTTTACCTGTGAGTTGAGGTATGCCTGAATAGTGAACCATTCTTGTATAGTGAAACATAAATGTATATTAAAATATATCTGTATAATGAAGTGTATCTATATGATTGTATTTATATGATAACGTGTACCTGTGTGTCGAACTGTTTGAGTATATTGAATTGTATGAGTATACTGAAGTGTATTTGCATGGTGTGGTGTACCTGTATAGCGAGGTGAGGATGTGTGATGTAGGGTGCAAGAGGTGTGACCAGCAGGCAGCCTTCCTCATGCTGCAGCTCGGCCTGGCGTCCATCACTGCTCACTGCCCGACACGTCAAGGGCCACCACCAAGTGAATCCTGCACTGTTGCCTCCTGGAGCACTACTTACAATGCTACCACCACCTAGAATTCTTCCGCCTGCTGCTTCACTCCCGAACAGGCCCCCAATGACACCTTTTCTCCCAGACAGGCCCCCAATGACACCTTTTCTCCCAGACAGGCCCCCAACAGCAGCATTACTCCCAGACAGGCCCCCACTTACATTACTCCCAGACAGGCCCCCACTTACATTACTCCCAGACATACCCCCATATGCACCAACTTTACCATCTGTAATTTTACCAATACTTGCTCCTCCACTTTCACTGGTGCCATCTGCACCACCATTGCCTCTCGTGCAAACTTTGGCAAAAGTTTCACTGTTCCTCTCACTACTATCTGTAACAGCACCACCACCACCCTTCACACTACTATCTGCAGCAGCACCACCACCACCCCTCACACTACTATCACCAATAGTATCACTCTTAATAGTGGTACCATCTGTAACAGCCCGCTTTATGCTGTGGACCGGCTCATGCTTCCTATTGTTGTCATTCCCATTTATTTTGTCATATTTTATAACGGTGTCTGTGCTATCCACACATTCATATCCACTGGCTTCAGTGGCTCCTCTGGCAGTATTACCACCTGCAGCTCCCCCACCTACAGTGTCACCAGAGACACCATCACTAGTAGGACAGTGGGTGATGCTACTGCGAGTGCTATCACCAGTCGTACAATTAGTGTCATCTGACGCATCTGCAACCTTACTATATCCACTGTCACCATTCGCAACTTCTTCCATTCCTTTGAGAGTATTACTCTCCATAAAACCCTCAGTCCCTTTAGACCCTCCAGCCCCTTTGGACCCTCCAGCCCCTTTGGACCCTCCAGCCTGTGTAGGGCCTCCAGCCTGTGTAGGGCCTCCAGCCCGTGTAGGCCCTCCAGCCTGTGTAGGGCTTGCAGCCTGAGTAGTGCCTCCCCTCTCGTAAAGAGTGCTCAACCTCGTCTCTGTCTTTAAAATGGACTCGACATCTTTGAGGTTTTTAACTTCTGAAGAGACTTGAAACAATTCAGCGTCTAGATCATAGAGGCTCTTGCTCTCTTGACACAGGCAGACAATGTGGACGAGGCAGCGGTGTAGACAAGCCAGAGTCCTGCCGGTGCTCTCCCTGAGGATCACTTGGAGCTGGTGCGCCCGGGCCTGAATGGCGTGCTTCCTCTCCACCACAAACTCGGAAGCGTGCAGCACATCATGATGCTGCTTCAGGTGCTGGTCCAAGATGCAGCTGCCACACACCAGCACCGCACACTGACGACACCAGTAACGCAACTGCTCACCATGAATGCTGCACTGTGCATACGGCTCCTCCTGTGCAACAATACAAGATCAGAGGTTAATTTAGCCTAATTTTGATGTTATAATAAATTATTCACTTTTCGGCACTAAAAAGACACGATATGTAACTCAACTTGTTGTTATGAAGACTGCCTTCAGTCAGCCATCACAAGCATGACAATAGTGTGACTATCATATCAATGTCCTTTAACATTTAAACTCGGACAAAAGTTATAACAGCATTTATTAATGTTTCTGCGGCAAAGAACAAAGAATACGAAACGCATTTTCGAACCTGAACACTCTATTCACTGCATAAATGTTAATATTATAGGAATATGAACTAGTTAGAGAGAAAAGACCATCAGGCCAAGTGAAAGTTCCAGGTGTCACTGTCTTTATCACCGGTGGCACGGAATAGACCTGTCTGAGGAGTTACCCTATTAATTAAATCATGCCGAAGACCTACAATAAAAGCCTTAATCAGATATTATGAATAGGACCTCCATGCAGGATGAACATATAATAACTATAATTATACTCCATAGGGGTGTCAGCTACCTTCAAGATGGGACTATTGGCCAACTCCCTCTTCAAAGTACAGAATGGCATTTGCATTCTAATCCTGTCCACGCGGCCTTAGATGGTGCATTCCTCCTTGGCAAGTTTGTGAGTGGTGTGGCGGTGGTCACGAAACAATGCACGCAGCTTCTGTAGCAGCCCCAAGTTCCAGGAAAGACTTTACCTGAGTCTTAGTGGTTGGAGGTGTGGCTTCCTTGATCTTTTCAAGCTTCTGTAGGAGCAGCTTGCATCTCTCGCCTCCTTGAACAAGGCTTGTGCCTCAAATTCAACTCGATAATTGAAATCAGCTTTTTGAAGCCAAAGCATGAGTTACCTTCCTTCAGGCTTCTTCATGAGAACCTTGGAGCTGGAGTAGGTTCAAGGTGCCACCTCAATCACTCCGGCCTCCATCATTTGCTCCATGAGAAAATCAATTGGGACAATGCGGGGTTTCGAACTAGCGACATGGGTGCTCCCAGCTCAACCCGTCCTCAGACAAGTCCATTTCACAACCCGTCCTCCAAACAGATCCAAAAGTGATTCCATGCACCCACCATGCACCCCCTGTTTATGAATGAAAAACGGTTTACACACAACTCACAACTGATTTCGTTTGAACACTTCCGGAACAAATGCTTCATTGACGAATTTTGTTCGAACCCCATTACTGTAAATGCTTCACCCACGTACTACAAATACAAATAATCGCCAACAGAACCTAAACACCTAACCTAACCTATGCCTATATATGTACAATATGCTAATATATTATGATATTAAATTATATTTGAGAAAATTCCTGTTTTGAATGAACAGCATGTAAAAAATTATTACTGCGTCTGTGGGATCGACCACTGGATGGAATGGACTTGAGTCGAGGACTGGTTGCCATTCCATCCAGCGGTCGACCCAAAATAACGCATTCATCAAATTTAACATGTTGTTCATTCAAAATATGAATTTTCTCAAATATGAATTAACATTATTATATATTACCATACTTTGCACATTTAGGCATTGGTTAGGTTAGGTGTTTAGGTTCTGTTAGCGATTATTTGTATTTGTAGTACGTGGGTGAAGCATTTACACCGTTGATGTTCGAACATAAGTCGTCAGCGAAGCACTTGTTCCGGAAAAGTCAGACGTCATCAGTTGTGACGTCATCCATTCCATCCAGCGGTCGACCCCACAGACGCATTCATAAATTTTAACATGCTGTTCATTCAAAACGGGAATTTTCTCAAGTATAAATTAATATTATAATATATTAGCATATTGTGTATATATAGGCATAGGATAGGTTAGGTTAGGTGTTTAGGTTCTGTTGGCGATTATTTGTATTTGTAGTACGTGGGTGAAGCATTTATAGCGTTGTGATTCGAACAAAATTCGTCAGTGAAGCACTTGTTCCGGATATGTTCGAACGTCAGCAGTTGTGAGTCGTGTGTAAACCGCTTTTCATTCATAAACAGGGGGTTTGGTGGGTGGATGGAATCACTTTTGGATCTTTGTTTGGAGGACGGGCTGCAGTTGTGAGTCGTGTGTGAACCGTTTTTCACTCATAAGCAAGGGGTTTGGCGGGTGCATGGAATGGACTTTGGCCTTTGTTTATAAGGACGGGCTGTTGTTTATGAGGCCGGACTGTTGTTTATGAGGCCAGACTGTTGTTTATGAGGCCAGACTGTTGTTTATGAGGCCAGACTGTTGTTTATGAGGCCAGACTGTTGTTTATGAGGCTGGACTGTTGTTTATGAGGACGGGCAGTTGTTTATGAGGACGGACTGTTGTTTATGAGGCCGGACTGTTGTTTATGAGGCCAGACTGTTGTTTATGAGGCCAGACTGTTGTTTATGAGGCTGGACTGTTGTTTATGAGGACGGGCAGTTGTTTATGAGGACGGACTGTTGTTTATGAGGCCGGACTGTTGTTTATGAGGACGGACTGTTGTTTATGAGGACGGGCTGTTGTTTATGAGGCCGGACTGTTGTTTATGAGGCCGGACTGTTGTTTATGAGGCTGGACTGTTGTTTATGAGGCCAGACTGTTGTTTATGAGGCCGGACTGTTGTTTATGAGGACGGACTGTTGTTTATGAGGACGGGCTGTTGTTTATGAGGCCGGGCAGTTGTTTATGAGGCCAAGCTGTTGTTTATGAGGCCAAGCTGTTGTTTATGAGGCCAGACTGTTGTTTATGAGGCTGGACTGTTGTTTATGAGGCTGGACTGTTGTTTATGAGGCTGGACTGTTGTTTATGAGGCCGGACTGTTGTTTATGAGGCCGGACTGTTGTTTATGAGGCCAGACTGTTGTTTATGAGGCTGGACTGTTGTTTATGAGGCTGGACTGTTGTTTATGAGGCCGGACTGTTGTTTATGAGGCCGGGCAGTTGTTTATGAGGCCAAGCTGTTGTTTATGAGGCCAAGCTGTTGTTTATGAGGACGGACTGTTGTTAATGAGGCCGGACTGTTGTTTATGAGGCCAGACTGTTGTTTATGAGGCCGGGCTGTTGTTTATGAGGCCGGACTGTTGTTTATGAGGCCAGACTGTTGTTTATGAGGCTGGACTGTTGTTTATGAGGCTGGACTGTTGTTTATGAGGCCGGACTGTTGTTTATGAGGCCGGACTGTTGTTTATGAGGCTGGACTGTTGTTTATGAGGCCAGACTGTTGTTTATGAGGCCGGACTGTTGTTTATGAGGCCGGACTGTTGTTTATGAGGACGGACTGTTGTTTATGAGGCCGGACTGTTGTTTATGAGGCCGGACTGTTGTTTATGAGGCCGGACTGTTGTTTATGAGGCCGGACTGTTGTTTATGAGGACGGACTGTTGTTTATGAGGCCGGACTGTTGTTTATGAGGCCAGACTGTTGTTTATGAGGCCGGACTGTTGTTTATGAGGCCGGACTGGTGTTTATGAGGCCGGGCAGTTGTTTATGAGGCCAAGCTGTTGTTTATGAGGCCAGACTGTTGTTTATGAGGCCGGACTGGTGTTTATGAGGCCGGACTGGTGTTTATGAGGCCGGACTGTTGTTTATGAGGCTGGACTGTTGTTTATGAGGCCGGACTGTTGTTTATGAGGCCGGACTGTTGTTTATGAGGCCGGACTGTTGTTTATGAGGCTGGACTGTTGTTTATGAGGCCGGACTGTTGTTTATGAGGCCGGACTGTTGTTTATGAGGCCAAGCTGTTGTTTATGAGGCCGGACTGTTGTTTATGAGGCCAGACTGTTGTTTATGAGGCTGGACTGTTGTTTATGAGGCTGGACTGTTGTTTATGAGGCTGGACTGTTGTTTATGAGACTGGACTGTTGTTTATGAGGCTGGACTGTTGTTTATGAGGCCGGACTGTTGTTTATGAGGCTGGACTGTTGTTTATGAGGCCGGACTGTTGTTTATGAGGCTGGACTGTTGTTTATGAGGCCGGACTGGTGTTTATGAGGCCAGGCAGTTGTTTATGAGGCCAAGCTGTTGTTTATGAGGCCAAGCTGTTGTTTATGAGGCTGGACTGTTGTTTATGAGGCTGGACTGTTGTTTATGAGGCCGGACTGTTGTTTATGAGGCTGGACTGTTGTTTATGAGGCCGGACTGTTGTTTATGAGGCTGGACTGTTGTTTATGAGGCTGGACTGTTGTTTATGAGGCTGGACTGTTGTTTATGAGGCCGGACTGTTGTTTATGAGGCTGGACTGTTGTTTATGAGGCTGGACTGTTGTTTATGAGGCCAAGCTGTTGTTTATGAGGCTGGACTGTTGTTTATGAGGCTGGACTGTTGTTTATGAGGCTGGACTGTTGTTTATGAGGCCGGACTGTTGTTTATGAGGCCGGACTGGTGTTTATGAGGCCGGGCAGTTGTTTATGAGGCCGGACTGGTGTTTCAGCCCGTCTCTCACTCATTACTCAACTAATGAGACTATTACAAGCCACATCACCGCAGATGAGGTGATCTATGATATAGTTGGAGGCAAAACTCATATTAAAGGTTTGTAAACAGATGTGCATGATCACCAATGGTCAGATGATTAGTAAATACTTGTCAATACTAGCAATGGGAGAACCAAAGACCAAACGTGTATGAATACACTCTGGCTTCTTGTCCCCCGACACTACGAGTTATTAATTATAAAGTTATTCCATATTAAGCAAATTCCCCCCTTGATTCGTTTTCTTTTATTACTGATGTGACACAATAGAAAACGTTGCATCAAATAACACTGGGGAGACGTAAATAAAGCTCCTCAAAATATATGGTTGGGACAAGATCACATTCACTCCAAATATCTACCACAGGCGGGCTAGTCGTACCCGTGCCACCTCTGGGTGGCTTAATCTTCATCAATCACTCAATCATGTTTAGCAGCAGTTTGTTGCGAGCAGCCACGGAGGTCAGACATCATGCCCGTCACCTCTCCGACTGGCAAATTGCACCAGATACAAGGGTTCCCAATGCCAGTCCGAGCCACTGAGGTACTGCCAAGGTAACTTTGTGGACAACGTAGACTAAGGCAGAATCTGCTTCCATCACCTACAAGACAAAATTGAAAATGCGTCTCCTTGGGGTCTACGAGCGCTCAGAGTGACAGCCGCCATCGACAGGGCAACTACAGTTGGGAGTGATGATGGTTACCTTCACAAAATTGAGGCCGCAGTGAGCGTGGAAGCGAAAGAAGACATTCTGATGTCCAGGATCCTGCCAATCACCTGCCGCTGCTAGAGGCCAATAAGTCGCCGATCACTCGCAGGTAAATTATGGCTGAGAGAACGATTTTTTTCAGCAAATTGAACCGCTGTATAGCGGGTTGATACCTGGTTGATGGGGTTCTGGGAATTCTTCTACTGCCCAAGCCCGGCCCGAGGCCAGGCTTGACTTGTGAGAGTTTGGTCCACCAGGCTGTTGCTTGGAGCGGCCCGCAGGCCCACATATACCCACCACAGCCCGGTTGGGTGAGGCCCCAGACAACATTGTACGACAGGTCAACGACAAGAATTACTACAAAGAACGTCGCTTTTCGCTCGTATGCGTAACATAAAGCCAAAATTGGTCGTACTAGAAAATGTAAGCGGCTCGCGAAAGTGACGTAGTCTCACGTTTTCTGTTTTGGGTCCTCTGGTAGGTTAGGAAAGGATAGTTTAAATTTTTCTTGACGATGAGATTTTTGTTGATCGTTTTCATGATGTTGGGGAACCTTAGGAGGACGGGCTGCGTCCTCCCTCACCTAACCAGATCGCCATGAAAAAAAAAGCTTCAACGTGCGATAATGCTTCAAGTACTTTAGTTATGAGCACTTCCCAAACAAGTGCCCAGATCAAACAGCTCAGTGCAGCTTAGGCTCCGGCGCCCACAACTAGAGGGAATGCATCACCGCCACCACCAAGAAATGTGCACTCTGTGGAGAACAGCACGCCGCCTCCCCTCATAAAGGAAGGAGGACTTAAAGACATTAATAAGGAAATCCCACCAAAGGCCGCCCACAGGCCAGTCACCGCTACCCTGGACTTTTCTATTTTATTTTTTTATTTCTAAATACAAGAGTTTATACATTCCTGTACAGCCATTAGCACGCATAGCGTTTCGGGCAGGTCCTTAATCCTAATATTTCCCGGAATTTGATCTGACAAATTGTTTAACAGCCAGGTACCCATTTTACTGTTGGGTAAACAGAGGCTACAGTTAAGGATTTGCGCCCAGTAAATCCTCCCCGACCATGATACGAACCCAGGACAAAGCACTCGTGGAACGTCAGGCGAGTGTCTTACCACTACGCCACGGAAACTGCAGGACTTAGGTCCTGAGCAATTCCCGAGCCTGCCTACAAGAAGCCTGCCGCCGTCAACGAGCCTATCTACAACGAGCCTGTCACCGTCAACGGCTTGTTGACGGTGGCAAACCTGCCGCCGTCATCGTCCATATGGACTGACCGCCCACAGAAGCTTGAGCAGCGAGACTGCCCGCGGCCAGGAACGCCAGCCACCATCGGGAATATCCAGGTCATCCTGGCACATGTGGACACGTCAGCCCACAACGCAGCAAGATCACAACAGTTCCTCAGAGCAGTGAACGGTCTTCTGGAAGCCACCGGCACCGCGCCCCGCTCTAATGCCAGGGACGGAACACGGAAATACAGCCACAGCCCGACACTCCACAGACGATGACGACAACTCCAGTTACCCAGACAACGTTGACAGCCTGGAGACGACTACCGAGCAGGAGACGACCACCCAGCAGGAGACGACCACCCAGCAGGTGACGACCACCCAGCAGGAGACGACCACCCAGCAGGTGACGACCACCCAGCAGGTGACGACCACCCAGCAGGTGACGACCACCCAGCAGGTGACGACCACCCAGCAGGTGACGACCACCCAGCAGGTGACGACCACCCAGCAGGTGACGACCACCCAGCAGGAGACGACCACCCAGCAGGTGACGACCACCCAGCAGGAGACGACCCCCCAGCAGGTGACGACCACCCAGCAGGTGACGACCACCCAGCAGGAGACGACCACCCAGCAGGAGACGACCACCCAGCAGGAGACGACCACCGAGCAGGTGACGACCACCCAGCAGGAGACGACCACCCAGCAGGAGACGACCACCGAGCAGGTGACGACCCCCCAGCAGGTGACGACCACCCAGCAGGTGACGACCCCCCAGCAGGTGACGACCCCCCAGCAGGAGACGACCACCCAGCAGGTGACGACCACCCAGCAGGAGACGACCACCCAGCAGGTGACGACCCCCCAGCAGGTGACGACCACCCCGCAGGAGACGACCCCCCAGCAGGTGACGACCCCCCAGCAGGAGACGACCACCCAGCAGGTGACGACCCCCCAGCAGGTGACGACCACCCAGCAGGAGACGACCACCCAGCAGGTGACGACCCCCCAGCAGGTGACGACCACCCAGCAGGAGACGACCACCCAGCAGGTGACGACCACCCAGCAGGTGACGACCACCCAGCAGGTGACGACCACCGGACGACCACCCAGCAGGAGACGACCACCGAGCAGGAGACGACCACCCAGCAGGTGACGACCACCCAGCAGGAGACGACCACCCAGCAGGTGACGACCACCCAGCAGGAGACGACCACCCAGCAGGTGACGACCACCCAGCAGGTGACGACCCCCCAGCAGGTGACGACCCCCCAGCAGGAGACGACCACCCAGCAGGTGACGACCCCCCAGCAGGTGACGACCACCCAGCAGGTGACGACCACCCAGCAGGTGACGACCACCCAGCAGGAGACGACCACCCAGCAGGTGACGACCCCCAGCAGGTGACGACCCCCCAGCAGGAGACGACCACCCAGCAGGTGACGACCACCCAGCAGGTGACGACCACCGAGCAGGAGACGACCACCCAGCAGGTGACGACCACCCAGCAGGTGACGACCACCCAGCAGGAGACGACCACCCAGCAGGTGACGACCACCCAGCAGGTGACGACCACCCAGCAGGTGACGACCACCGAGCAGGAGACGACCACCCAGCAGGAGACGACCACCCAGCAGGAGACGACCACCCAGCAGGAGACGACCACCCAGCAGGAGACGACCACCCAGCAGGAGACGACCACCGAGCAGGAGACGACCACCCAGCAGGAGACGACCACCGAGCAGGAGACGACCACCGAGCAGGAGACGACCACCCAGCAGGAGACGACCACCCAGCAGGAGACGACCACCGAGCAGGAGACGACCACCCAGCAGGAGACGACCACCGAGCAGGAGACGACCACCCAGCAGGAGACGACCACCGAGCAGGAGACGACCACCGAGCAGGGAGACCTGTACCATGAACCCAGAAGAGCGCCAACTCCCTCCTGGCCGTCCAGAGAGTAGACGGCGCACTGCTCTACACCGCAGCTCACCAGAGAGGGTTCATGGCGTGCACCACGGGGACCAGAAACATATAAGCAGAACTCTGAACCCCGCACTCGAAGATGACATGCACTATACGCAGCCCGTCCTCTTAAAATTAACGTCACTTTTGGCTGGTATGCGGCACTATGGCCAAAAGTGGACGAAATTTGAAATGAAATTGACTCACAAAAGTAACGTACCCTTTTCTGTTTGAGTCGTCCGGCTTACTCGGCATGGTTAGGAGAGGAAACTTTCAATTAACGTTTTTCATAACGTTTTTGAAACTTTATGAGAATTTCCTGCCCACCTAACCTATCAGAGGACCCTTAACTTACTGTTGTTGAAAAAAATCCCAAATTTATTTTCATTTTTAAATTACGTCCACTTTCGGCCATACGGGCAAACGGCCAAAAGCGACGTTATTTTTAAGAGGACAGGTTGCTATACGACCTGTATCCAGAGTGCAGTTGTCCTAACCTACCAGAGAACACAAAACAGAAAACGGGACAGTATGTCAATTTCGCGAGCCGCTACCATTTTCTAGTACGATGATTTTTGGCGTTAGGTGGAGTATACGTCAAAATGCGACGTTCTATTACGAGGACGGGTTGCATATGTATGCATGTTTAGCAAGTTTCGCTAATCATGTACTATATAATAAGGAATTAAATAGTGTACATATATGTGCTGTAAATCATTTTTTCTTAAACATAAAATCTTTATTTTAATTAAAAAACGGGTCTGAAAATACCTGAAAGTCGGCGGCTTGACCTGAGAGCTCGAGTACAGCGAAGTTGACGGGAAGGTGGATGGTGGTGAGGGTGTGGTGGGGGCTCCTGCAGGATGGGCAGGTGAGGCCCCCGGCGGCGGCTGCGGCCTCCACGCTGGCCAGACACACGCCGCAGAAGGTGTGGCCGCAGGGAAGGATGAGCGGCTCCCGTACCTCCGCCTGGTACACCTCCGAGCACACTCCGCAGGTCACCGTCTCCTCCACGTTGGCCGACCATCGCTGCCACGACCAGGGAGGTGTTAGTCCGGTGTTGTGTATGTCCTGGTCCAGCCGTGTGTATGTCCTGGTCCAGCCGTGTGTATGTCCTGGTCCAGCCTTGTGTATGTCCTGGTCCAGCCTTGTGTATGTCCTGGTCCAGCCTTGTGTATGTCCTGGTCCAGCCTTGTGCATGTCCTGGTCCAGCCTTGTGTATGTCCTGGTCCAGCCGTGTGTATGTCCTGGTCCAGCCTTGTGTGTATGTCCTGGTCCAGCCTTGTGTATGTCCTGGTCCAGCCGTATGTATGTCCTGGTCCAGCCGTGTGTATGTCCTGGTCCAGCCGTGTGTATGTCCTGGTCCAGCCTTGTGTATGTCCTGGTCCAGCCGTGTGTATGTCCTGGTCCAGCCGTGTGTATGTCCTGGTCCAGCCTTGTGTATGTCCTGGTCCAGCCGTGTGTATGTCCTGGTCCAGCCTTGTGTATGTCCTGGTCCAGCCGTGTGTATGTCCTGGTCCAGCCTTGTGTATGTCCTGGTCCAGCCTTGTGTATGTCCTGGTCCAGCCGTGTGTATGTCCTGGTCCAGCCTTGTGTATGTCCTGGTCCAGCCTTGTGTATGTCCTGATCCAGCCTTGTGTATGTCCTGGTCCAGCCGTGTGTATGTCCTGGTCCAGCCGTGTGTATGTCCTGGTCCAGCCGTGTGTATGTCCTGGTCCAGCCGTGTGTATGTCCTGGTCCAGCCTTGTGTATGTCCTGGTCCAGCCGTGTGTATGTCCTGGTCCAGCCTTGTGTATGTCCCTCTGCTGGTCCAGCCGTGTGTGTGTGTCCCTCTGCTGGTCCAGCCTTGTGTATGTCCCTCTGCTGGTCCAGCCGTGTGTATGTCCCTCTGCTGGTCCAGCCTTGTGTATGTCCCTCTGCTGGTCCAGCCTTGTGTATGTCCCTCTGCTGGTCCAGCCTTGTGTATGTCCCTCTGCTGGTCCAGCCTTGTGTATGTCCCTCTGCTGGTCCAGCCTTGTGTATGTCCCTCTGCTGGTCCAGCCTTGTGTGTGTCCCTCTGCTGGTCCAGCCGTATGTATGTCCCTCTGCTGGTCCAGCCTTGTGTATGTCCTGGTCCAGCCTTGTGTATGTCCCTCTGCTGGTCCAGCCTTGTGTATGTCCCTCTGCTGGTCCAGCCGTGTGTATGTCCCTCTGCTGGTCCAGCCTTGTGTATGTCCCTCTGCTGGTCCAGCCGTGTGTGTGTGTCCCTCTGCTGGTCCAGCCTTGTGTGTGTCCCTCTGCTGGTCCAGCCTTGTGTGTGTCCCTCTGCTGGTCCAGCCTTGTGTATGTCCCTCTGCTGGTCCAGCCGTGTGTGTGTCCCTCTGCTGGTCCAACCGTGTGTATGTCCCTCTGCTGGTCCAGCCTTGTGTATGTCCCTCTGCTGGTCCAGCCTTGTGTATGTCCCTCTGCTGGTCCAGCCTTGTGTGTGTCCCTCTGCTGGTCCAGCCGTGTGTATGTCCCTCTGCTGGTCCAGCCTTGTGTGTGTGTCCCTCTGCTGGTCCAGCCTTGTGTGTGTCCCTCTGCTGGTCCAGCCTTGTGTGTGTCCCTCTGCTGGTCCAGCCGTGTGTATGTCCTGGTCCAGCCTTGTGTATGTCCCTCTGCTGGTCCAGCCGTGTGTGTGTGTCCCTCTGCTGGTCCAGCCTTGTGTGTGTGTCCCTCTGCTGGTCCAGCCTTGTGTATGTCCCTCTGCTGGTCCAGCCGTGTGTATGTGTCCCTCTGCTGGTCCAGCCTTGTGTATGTCCCTCTGCTGGTCCAGCCGTGTGTATGTCCCTCTGCTGGTCCAGCCTTGTGTATGTCCCTCTGCTGGTCCAGCCTTGTGTATGTCCCTCTGCTGGTCCAGCCTTGTGTGTATGTCCCTCTGCTGGTCCAGCCTTGTGTATGTCCCTCTGCTGGTCCAGCCGTGTGTGTGTCCCTCTGCTGGTCCAGCCGTGTGTATGTCCTGGTCCAGCCTTGTGTATGTCCCTCTGCTGGTCCAGCCTTGTGTGTGTGTCCCTCTGCTGGTCCAGCCTTGTGTATGTCCCTCTGCTGGTCCAGCCTTGTGTATGTCCCTCTGCTGGTCCAGCCTTGTGTATGTCCCTCTGCTGGTCCAGCCGTGTGTATGTCCCTCTGCTGGTCCAGCCGTGTGTGTGTGTCCCTCTGCTGGTCCAGCCGTGTGTATGTCCTGGTCCAGCCTTGTGTATGTCCCTCTGCTGGTCCAGCCTTGTGTATGTCCCTCTGCTGGTCCAGCCTTGTGTATGTCCCTCTGCTGGTCCAGCCGTGTGTATGTCCCTCTGCTGGTCCAGCCTTGTGTATGTCCCTCTGCTGGTCCAGCCGTGTGTATGTCCTGGTCCAGCCTTGTGTATGTCCCTCTGCTGGTCCAGCCGTGTGTATGTCCCTCTGCTGGTCCAGCCGTGTGTGTGTGTCCCTCTGCTGGTCCAGCCTTGTGTATGTCCCTCTGCTGGTCCAGCCGTGTGTATGTCCCTCTGCTGGTCCAGCCTTGTGTATGTCCCTCTGCTGGTCCAGCCTTGTGTATGTCCCTCTGCTGGTCCAGCCTTGTGTATGTCCCTCTGCTGGTCCAGCCTTGTGTGTGTCCCTCTGCTGGTCCAGCCGTGTGTATGTTCCACTGTTAGACCAACAGTGTATACACAACACAGCTGGACCCACCATGTATACACTACACAGCTGGACCCACCATGTATACACAACACAGCTGGACCCACCATGTATACACAACACAGCTGGACCCACCATGTATACACAACACAGCTGGACCCACCATGTATAAACAACACAGCTGGACCCACCATGTATACACAACACAGCTGGACCCACCATGTATACACAACACAGCTGGACCCTCCATGTATACACAACACAGCTGGACCCACCATGTATACACAACACAGCTGGGCCCACCATGTATACACTACACAGCTGGACCCAGCATGTATACACAACACATCTGGGCCCACCATGTATACACGACACAGCTGGACCCTCCATGTATACACAACACAGCTGGACCCTCCATGTATACACAACACAGCTGGACCCACCATGTATACACAACACATCTGGGCCCACCATGTATACACGACACAGCTGGACCCACCATGTATACACGACACAGCTGATGATATTCATGGTCATTGTGAAGGTCATTCTAGCTGCGTGATGCTGGTCCTGTCGCACCCCATGTCAGGCACGCGCGTGCACACACGCACTCACACACCCGCGGGGGGAGGTTGAGAGGGGCCTTGAGGCTGAGTGGATAGCACCCTGGGTGTGTAGTCCTAAGGGTCTGGGTTCGACTCCCGGCCGAGGCAGAAACAGACTGACAGAGTTTCTGTGAGAAATTTTCCCACCAACTTTATTTAAATTTAATTAATGTTCATATAATTAATTACACATCACGAAATGTATTACCTTCTTGGAAGTAATTCCTAGAAGGTAAGAGAAAGGCAATAAGTAAGACTAGGATGGAAGGGACGGATAGGATGGAAGGGACGAATAGGATAGGTAAGAGAGAGAAGGTTAGAAAAGCGGGAAAAAGGGTCTCGTTTGTTAAGAAAGTTGGAGCATCAGAGTATATACTGGGAGAGGGAAGAGTCCACAGCAACAGAGCCAGGACTCAGGTTCATGTTGGGTGTTAACAGCTGAGTCCACTAGACGGCGTCTGGGTAGAGTACAGGCAGGAAAGATTATTTGAGAAGAGGACCAATCAATAGCAGGATTAAAGCCTCTAACATGACAGAAGAGATCAGTAGGAGGATTAGAGTCCCCTAACATGAGAGAAGAGATCAGTAGGAGGATTAGAGTCCCCTAACATGAGAGAAGAGATCAGTAGGAGGATTAGAGTCCCCTAACATGAGAGAAGAGATCAGTAGGAGGATTAGAGTCCCCTAACATGACAGAAGAGATCAGTAGGAGGATTAGAGTCCCCTAACATGAGAGAAGAGATCAGTAGGAGGATTAGAGTCCCCTAACATGACAGAAGCGATCAGTAGGAGGATTAGAGCCCCTAACATGACACAAGAGATCATTGTGTGTGTCTGCAGAGTTAACACTTTGTCTGTGACTCCTTAAGTCTGTCATTAATAAGTTTACGAACTGGCCGGGGAACTGGCACATTATTTTCTTCTCGATCTTGATCTTAAGCTCATCTCAATGGTGTGAGCATAGTTAAGACCACACTAGGGCTTTCAGTCCACCCTGGGGTTATACCCGGTGTTGTTATACCCGGTATAACACCGGGTATAACATATTCCTATTAAGAAGTCTAATATGGCCGAGGAGTTTGGCGCGAGAAGTCTGTTGCTTGACCTTTATGGGTGGCGGGGATACACCCAGCTTACACCCACCTGGGACATGGTGTGGGTGAGTGTTGCTGCCATACACCCAGCTTACACCCACCTGGGACGTGGTGTGGGTGGGTGTTGCTGCCATACACCCAGCTTACACTCACCTGGGACATGGTGTGGGTGGGTGTTGCTGCCATACACCCAGCTTACACCCACCTGGGACGTGGTGTAGGTGGGTGTTGCTGCCATACACCCAGCTTACACCCACCTGGGACATGGTGTGGGTGAGTGTTGCTGCCATACACCCAGCTTACACCCACCTGGGACATGGTGTGGGTGGGTGTTGCTGCCATACACCCAGCTTACACCCACCTGGGACATGGTGTGGGTGGGTGTTGCTGCCATACACCCAGCTTACACCCACCTGGGACGTGGTGTGGGTGGGTGTTGCTGCCATACACCCAGCTTACACCCACCTGGGACGTGGTGTGGGTGGGTGTTGCTGCCATACACCCAGCTTACACCCACCTGGGACATGGTGTGGGTGGGTGTTGCTGCCATACACTCAGCTTACACTCACCTGGGACATGGTGTGGGTGGGTGTTGCTGCCATACACCCAGCTTACACCCACCTGGGACGTGGTGTGGGTGGGTGTTGCTGCCATACACCCAGCTTACACCCACCTGGGACATGGTGTGGGTGGGTGTTGCTGCCATACACCCAGCTTACACCCACCTGGGACGTGGTGTGGGTGGGTGTTGCTGCCATACACCCAGCTTACACCCACCTGGGACGTGGTGTGGGTGGGTGTTGCTGCCATACACCCAGCTTACACCCACCTGGGACATGGTGTGGGTGGGTGTTGCTGCCATACACCCAGCTTACACTCACCTGGGACATGGTGTTGGTGGGTGTTGCTGCCATACACCCAGCTTACACCCACCTGGGACATGGTGTTGGTGGGTGTTGCTGCCATACACCCAGCTTACACCCACCTGGGACATGGTGTGGGTGGGTGTTGCTGCCATACACCCAGCTTACACTCACCTGGGACATGGTGTGGGTGGGTGTTGCTGCCATACACCCAGCTTACACTCACCTGGGACGTGGTGTGGGTGGGTGTTGCTGCCATACACCCAGCTTACACTCACCTGGGACGTGGTGTGGGTGGGTGTTGCTGCCATACACCCAGCTTACACTCACCTGGGACATGGTGTGGGTGGGTGTTGCTGCCATACACTCAGCTTACACTCACCTGGGACATGGTGTGGGTGGGTGTTGCTGCCATACACCCAGCTTACACTCACCTGGGACATGGTGTGGGTGGGTGTTGCTGCCATACACCCAGCTTACACTCACCTGGGACATGGTGTGGGTGGGTGTTGCTGCCATACACCCAGCTTACACTCACCTGGGACATGGTGTGGGTGGGTGTTGCTGCCATACACCCAGCTTACACTCACCTGGGACATGGTGTGGGTGGGTGTTGCTGCCATACACCCAGCTTACACTCACCTGGGACATGGTGTGGGTGGGTGTTGCTGCCATACACTCAGCTTACACTCACCTGGGACATGGTGTGGGTGGGTGTTGCTGCCATACACCCAGCTTACACTCACCTGGGACATGGTGTGGGTGGGTGTTGCTGCCATACACTCAGCTTACACCCACCTGGGACATGGTGTGGGTGGGTGTTGCTGCCATACACCCAGCTTACACCCACCTGGGACATGGTGTGGGTGGGTGTTGCTGCCATACACCCAGCTTACACCCACCTGGGACATGGTGTTGGTGGGTGTTGCTGCCATACACCCAGCTTACACCCACCTGGGACATGGTGTGGGTGGGTGTTGCTGCCATACACCCAGCTTACACCCACCTGGGACGTGGTGTGGGTGGGTGTTGCTGCCATACACCCAGCTTACACTCACCTGGGACGTGGTGTGGGTGGGTGTTGCTGCCATACACCCAGCTTACACCCACCTGGGACATGGTGTGGGTGGGTGTTGCTGCCATACACCCAGCTTACACCCACCTGGGACATGGTGTTGGTGGGTGTTGCTGCCATACACCCAGCTTACACCCACCTGGGACATGGTGTGGGTGGGTGTTGCTGCCATACACCCAGCTTACACTCACCTGGGACATGGTGTGGGTGGGTGTTGCTGCCATACACCCAGCTTACACTCACCTGGGACATGGTGTGGGTGGGTGTTGCTGCCATACACTCAGCTTACACTCACCTGGGACATGGTGTGGGTGGGTGTTGCTGCCATACACCCAGCTTACACTCACCTGGGACATGGTGTGGGTGGGTGTTGCTGCCATACACTCAGCTTACACCCACCTGGGACATGGTGTGGGTGGGTGTTGCTGCCATACACCCAGCTTACACCCACCTGGGACATGGTGTGGGTGGGTGTTGCTGCCATACACCCAGCTTACACTCACCTGGGACATGGTGTGGGTGGGTGTTGCTGCCATACACCCAGCTTACACCCACCTGGGACATGGTGTGGGTGGGTGTTGCTGCCATACACCCAGCTTACACCCACCTGGGACATGGTGTGGGTGGGTGTTGCTGCCATACACCCAGCTTACACCCACCTGGGACATGGTGTGGGTGGGTGTTGCTGCCATACACCCAGCTTACACCCACCTGGGACATGGTGTGGGTGGGTGTTGCTGCCATACACCCAGCTTACACCCACCTGGGACATGGTGTGGGTGGGTGTTGCTGCCATACACCCAGCTTACACCCACCTGGGACATGGTGTGGGTGGGTGTTGCTGCCATACACCCAGCTTACACCCACCTGGGACATGGTGTGGGTGGGTGTTGCTGCCATACACCCAGCTTACACCCACCTGTGACGTGGTGTGGGTGGGTGTTGCTGCCATACACCCAGCTTACACTCACCTGGGACATGGTGTGGGTGGGTGTTGCTGCCATACACCCAGCTTACACTCACCTGGGACATGGTGTGGGTGGGTGTTGCTGCCATACACCCAGCTTACACCCACCTGGGACGTGGTGTGGGTGGGTGTTGCTGCCATACACCCAGCTTACACCCACCTGGGACATGGTGTGGGTGGGTGTTGCTGCCATACACCCAGCTTACACCCACCTGGGACATGGTGTGGGTGGGTGTTGCTGCCATACACCCAGCTTACACCCACCTGGGACATGGTGTGGGTGGGTGTTGCTGCCATACACCCAGCTTACACCCACCTGGGACATGGTGTGGGTGGGTGTCAATACACTAGAGCCGTGTTAGCGTCCTCCGTGGCGGAGTGCAGACGTCCAGAAGTGACACCCGCTCGACCTCACCTACACAGCACCACTCTGCTGCCTCCGCCACGCCTCGTCTGCCGTGGCCTGCCCGCAGACGCTGTTGCGTCGTCAGCAGTCGCTGTACCGTCGTCAGCAGTCGCTGTACCGTCGTCAGCAGACGCCGTACCGTCGTCAGCAGTCGCTGTACCGTCAGCAGACATGGGTGTTTGATCAACTTTCAAGGGTTCCTGTGTTGTGTTCGGTGGATGGGTGAGTGTGATTTGGTGGCAACTGAGTCATTGATTGTGAGGTGAGTGTGGCCCAGCCGGCGCCTCACTCTGACTCACTCACTCACTCACTCACTCACTCACTCACTCACTCACTCACTCACTCACTCACTCACGGTCCCCGTCTCGTGTCACCTGGGATGGTGTGTCACACGCCAGCACTCGCAACACGCCTCCACACGCACGCCTCGCACCCTTCCCACACACACAATGTACCCTTACACACACAACGCACCCCATACACACCCCCACACACACCACGCACCCCATACACACCCCCACACACACCACGCACCCCATACACACCCCCACACACACAACGCACCCCATACACACCCCCACACACACCACGCACCCCATACACACCCCCACACACACCACGCACCCCATACACACCCCCACACACACCACGCACCCCATACACACCCCCACACACACCACGCACCCCATACACACCCCCACACACACCACGCACCCCATACACACCCCCACACACACCACGCACCCCATACACACCCCCACACACACCACGCACCCCATACACACCCCCACACACACCACGCACCCCACACAGGGGGGGAAGGGGCCTGGTAGCCTGATGGATAGCGCGCAGGACTCGTAATTCTGTGGCGCGGGTTCGATTCCCGCACGAGGCAGAAACAAATGGGCAAAGTTTCTTTCACCCTGAATGCCCCTTTTACCTAGCAGTAAATAGGTACCTGGGAGTTAGTCAGCTGTCACGGGCTGCTTCCTGGGGTGTGTGTGTGTGGGGTGGAAAAAAAAGTAGTTAGTAAACAGTTGATTGACAGTTGAGAGGCGGGCCGAAAGAGCAAAGCTCAACCCCCGCAAACACAACTAGGTGAATACATACACCGTTATCTTGAGAGGTTATCTTGAGATGATTTCGGGGCTTTAGTGTCCCCGCGGCCCGGTCCTCGACCAGGCCTCCACCCCCAGGAAGCAGCCCATGACAGCTGACTAACTCCCAGGTACCCGTGCACCACACACACACACAAGTAGAGGAAATGAAGACGCAGACCGTGCATGACACCTGTCACAGGTGAGTGCCGGGTCCCATGTCATGGGGCGAGAGGTGTCCCACTCGCGCATGGTCTACGGCTCCCAGGGCGTTCTACGTCTCCGTATGGTGAATGGGGGGAGTAAGGGGAGGGGTAAGCATGTGTAGCAGGTGTGTAGCATGTGTGCAGGTTTGTTTATGTTGAAATGGAAGTATAGGTGACTGTTGAAAGTGTATGTATTGGGAGCATAGAGTTGTACAGGTGTGTATGCTTAGTGTGTGTTAAGCATGGGAGGTTCTAGAGTTAAGCATGGTGGCTGTGGGAACCGACCTGTGAGATATTTATTTAATTTATATGAATTTATATAGAATTTATATTTACGTTAATTTATATATTTCAATAGCAATTTGTATGATGTTTAGCGGAGTGTATTTCTGCAATAATTCTCACAAATCGATCCTTACACATTAGGGGGGGTTCATATTAAATTTATATATATGCAGCCAATCAAACTACAGTACTAAACTACATATATTAGTATATAAATTGAGGAGGTGCCTTATCTAATTATACAGCAGGCTTAGTCCACCAGGTATAACTGGGAGGTAGACACCAAATTATCCTCATGTGAGGCTAGCTTCCATCACCCATAGTAACTGATGTACCAAGATTAATTCTTGCTTCCTCTTCTTGTTCCTGTCAAAGGGCACTAGCTGTAAAGCCGGAATCCTAATATATGACAGCTATATCAGAGATAACCCTTTATATTATTAGATAAGGACCAAGGCTTAATTACCTGGGTTGAGTCGTTCATTCGCGTCCTAACCTTAATTAATCATATCTACCTAACATTACTGGCCAATAATGACTTAGATAAGATTTCGGAAAGACACTTCCCTTGTGGTTGTTGACAGCGTGTTCATGATGGTAGAACACTTAAGTTGATCTCCATAACACTTCGTCCAAGAGAATTATAGGAGCGGAATTTGCTCCAACGACTCGGTCTGTTTTAACAATGGCTGACCTCCCTCGCCACTGACGCTTCTGGCTCTCCTTGTCCAGATGTCAATAAGTGATAGAAGGGTCAAATTTACTCTATTTTGATACTGATAATTAAGTTAATTCAAATGAGATGTTTTTATGATGTAATAAGTCCAAAGACTACGGTATTTAAGAATAATTCCCAACAGAATAGGTGGTGAATTTATAAGCGCTATGTGGCAATGATATCCCATTTTCTGTTGATGGAAAATTCCACTACAAGCTACATTTTCTATGGGTTAACTTGTGTATACAACAGCAGCAATATTATCTGCATATTGTATTTAGTATTATTAAATGGTGTCGGTTTTTCCGACAGTAGTGGCACATGGCAACACCAGACCTAGGAGACCGGGTGGAGTAGCGGCACAAGACAACACCAGACCTAGGAGACCGGGTGGAGTAGCGGCACATGGCAACACCAGACCTAGGAGACCGGGTGGAGTAGCGGCACAAGACAACACCAGACCTAGGAGACCGGGTGGAGTAGCGGCACATGGCAACACCAGACCTAGGAGACCGGGTGGAGTAGCGGCACATGGCAACACCAGACCTAGGAGACCGGGTGGAGTAGCGGCACAAGACAACACCAGACCTAGGAGACCGGGTGGAGTAGCGGCACATGGCAACACCAGACCTAGGAGACCGGGTGGAGTAGCGGCACATGGCAACACCAGACCTAGGAGACCGGGTGGAGTAGCGGCACATGGCAACACCAGACCTAGGAGACCGGGTGGAGTAGCGGCACATGGCAACACCAGACCTAGGAGACCGGGTGGAGTAGCGGCACAAGACAACACCAGACCTAGGAGACCGGGTGGAGTAGCGGCACATGGCAACACCAGACCTAGGAGACCGGGTAGAGTGTGTGGAAGGTTAGGTTAGGGAGACGTGGGAAAATAACGAGGAGGGAGGGAGGGGGAGGTTGGATGTCAGACATACGCCCATGAGTGGTAAGCTAACCTTGTTGTACTTACCGGGCGTCCCGGTAAGTACAACAGCTCCCGGTGAGGGGAGCTGTCCACCTCCCCTCACACAGGCTCGGGGTGTTAAAACCTTACAGTAACCAAAGGACGTCTGTCAAGGTGTTCCCTTCGTCAGGTCTCCAGCAGGGTGTTAAAACCTTACAGTAACCAAAGGACGTCTGTCAAGGTGTTCCCTTCGTCAGGTCTCCAGCAGATCAACGCAGTTACTGGGTATTACACAAGTGCATACAGCTGTCGGTGTGATGATAAGTAGTATAGCGAGGTGTTTTGGCCATTACTGGGCTTCTACCTTCTTGAGATCTTGAGATGATTTTGGGGCTTTAGTGTCCCCGCAGCCCAGTCCTCGACCAGGCCTCCACCCCCAGGAAGCAGCCCGTGACAGCTGACTAACACCCAGGTACCTATTTTACTGCTAGGTAACAGGGGCATAGGGTGAAAGAAACTCTGCCCATTGTTTCTCGCCGGCGCCTGGGATCGAACCCAGGACCACAGGATCACAAGTCCAGCGTGCTGTCCGCTCGGCCGACCGGCTCCCTTCCACTCTTCTCACACACATGACACAGTATTTAAACATTACGTCTCAGCAAGGGCGTCTGGTGCATTTTTCTAAATATCTCTCTTCACGTCTGTGAAGTCAAAACACAGCAGGAGGTGAGATGTGGCTACTTACCATATTCGTTTAAGTCAGACGAGGACCTAGATCGTGACATCTTCATGAAGCAGAGGTGGTGTTGGTACTGAGCTGTAAGGGGTAATGGGTATTACCCCTTACCCCTTTATTATGATGAATGATAGATTGGTCTTGTCTCGTTATCGCTGACTCGTCACCCAGTGTCTGACCCTCACCAACCTCTCCTTAGCGCATAATCATGCCGACATCTAATCTTCACATCCAAGTTGTTTAACATCGTGTGTGAAGGAAGGCTCAAGTAATAACATGTAGACTCACCTACTCAATAAATGCTGCTCTCATGTTTACTCTCTCCACCTACAAATTCTTACAGGGATATTTTTTTTTACTCGAGCGTATATTTAGTTTAAAACCCTGTCCATCATCAGTTAATAGTAAATCGCGGTGATATGAGCAGTAAGAGGAGCCATGATCCCCACATAGAAAATCCTCAATGGGCCAGTCAGTGTGTTGAACAGGGGATCATAGTTTTTAGTTTAAAAATACTTTCAATCACCACACATTATCTATGAGGAGAAGGAGGGGGGGGGGGGGGAGGGACATCTCCCAACAGCAACAACAGTTTCTTCAATAAATATCACTTAAGGCTTTTATTATGTCTATCTCGCTGCAGTCGTCAAATTTCTGGCTTATCAGAACGACGTTAGAGTCATTAACGCGAGCACCTGCACCCCCCCTCCCCACCCCATCTCTCCTCTCAAAAACATGTCATTTATTCGTTCATTCATTCATACATAAAGGAGTTTTTGGTAATAATAATAATAAATGCTACTGTTGATGTGTTTTATTCAATGTAAAGACAAAATATATCATCAGACTATTAGCAAGAAACATAACATAATGTAGTTACATCTTTTTATTCACCAACATATCTTAAGATCATAGCATAGCATCACACACAGAGATCACACTAACATGATGCATCAAATGAACAAATCCACAAGGGCCGTGACGAGGATTCGAACCTGCCTCCGGGAGCATCCCAGACACTGCCTTAATCGACTGAGCTACAACAGGGTTAAAAGGGTTGAAACCCTGTCGTAGCTCAGTCGATTAAGGCAGTGTCTGGGATGCTCTTCAGAGGCAGGTTCGAATCCTTGTCACAGCCCTTGTGGATATGTTCATAGCATAGCATTATTGTTGATGTGTTTTGTTCAATGTAAAGACAGAATGGAGCATTACACTATTAGTCAGTTGCCTAGACAAAACACATCATCTCACGTATTATTTCCTAGGCTTTTTAACTATTACAAGTTTTTTCTATGTTTTCTTAACATTTGTGCCAAGTGAGCCAACGCTGGATATTAGTATACCATTCAGTCTTATCATCATGATTCCCACTCTTACCCAAAACTCCTTTTGAGTCCGTAAGGGATTTTCACACGTTTTATTGAATCATGATGCTTAGTCAAGCTTAAAATTTGATTAATGCATAATTTAAAGCTCCAACGTTTCTT